ACACTAAGAGGACCAGACCTCCGCAAAGACTCTAATGTTAGTTAGTTAGTAATCATGTGATTATAACCTGGTATTTTGTTTATAGTCATACCTCTATATAATTACTAAATTAGGATATAACTAACTTGAGCATAGCAGACATTTGATTTTATTAGTTCATAAAACCCTAAGTCATACAATATAAAAAAAACTTTTTAAAGTAAACTTTACTATAAAAAGCTATTTCATTAATTAATAACTTTTAATTTCACAAAGTAAAGTTTAATCAAAATATTTTATAGACTTCTTTTACTCTCAAGATGTCTATTAAGTGAAAATGATCTCTATTGATCTCTATTGTTAAAAACTTTGCTTAAAAGGCAACTTTTAATAAGGCAAGTATAGTAGTAAGTATATACAAGTTAAAATTCAGCTTGTTGAGCAAAAATAAAAATAGAATAAAGTCGAAAGTAATGATTTAAAAAGGCATAATACTGTAATATATAATTTAAGATCTTAGTTTATCGAAATAATATTTATTATACATTATAAAAATTCTAGAATAATTAGCTAATTACATTTATTTTTTTTTTTTTAAGATACGATTAAAGATTTAAAGATTTATATATGTGTATAACTACATGCTGTTTTGCTGTAATTTAAACTATAAAGCTTTCTTTATAAATTAATGAATAAAATAAATATAGTCATTTTACTTGAACAAATCTAATTAATTTCATACAATATATATTTTAAGATTAGTTAAAGTTTCGATTTTTTTTTTCTTTTGAAATTCATAATTTGGTTGGCTAATAATCATATGATAATATGTATATTGTTTACATTTATTAACCAATCAAATCGAATGTCTGCTATGCTACCAACTTGGTGATTATATAGAGGTCTGACTGTAATAAATTAAATTAATTTTAATTTTTGAAAACATTTAAGTCATTTTCGATCTGATCAAAAAATCTAATACTATTCAGCCATATAGCGCACTATACTATCTCTTATGATATATAAAAAAAAATAATAAAACTACTGCTAACTACTATTAATGCTTAGGCACTTATTTTTTTTAAGTTGTTCTCGTCTAATAATAACTGCCCTTAGCAGATTTAGTGGATTTCAAATTCTACTTTATTCTTTCAACGTTTTACTAGTATTTATACGCGCTAAAATTTTGCTATCAACATACTGTCTACCATGAATCAGATTATATCAGATTAAATCGACCAGCGAAAGATGAGTATATCCCGAAAATTTAATGAAGTAAAATAAAAACGATGAGATAGAATTTAATGAGTATATCGCAAGTGTAATCAATTAGCAGTTAGATGAAAGAGTCGCTTTGGTCTAATATCAGATATAGCATAGTTAAAAATCTACCTGATTAGCTGTCGATCCTTGAAATCTTATTGGCTGCCTATAGTAAATGTTCTAAATGAAATTACAATCGATCATATGATAAATCGCTAATGAAAATGATTAAATCTGATGAATTTTGTCAGAAGCAAGTCACTTCAGAAAACCAACTTTCATTAAAGTTTCGCAAGCTATTAGCTATAAAAATTTAATACTTGCTATTCACAAGTACTAAATTTTTATAGTAAATAGCTGACGAAACTTAAATGAAAGTTAGTTTTCTGAAGTGACTTGCTTCTGGCAAAATTCATCAGATTTAATCATTTTCGTTAGCGATTTATCATATGATCGATTGTAATTTCATATACACATATAGGCCGATTTGGCTCATCTTTGATTATATCACCTACTCTTAATTATATCACCTGATTAGTATTACAACTAATCAAAAATTTGGCAACATATACAAACCTAATTTTCTAAAATAATACGTGATACTATTTTGCTTTTTCTACTTTAATATGGCTGCTTTTTCTTGTTTACTCTGTTCCGAAATTTATGATACAAAAAAAAAATTACAGAACCATGAACGAAATAAACATAAAAACAACAAATTTATTCCACACCGGCATATACTACAACAACCTTCTAATGAAACTTTATCATTTTATCAAGATACAATAATAATTCATTTGAAAAAAAGTCTTGGATTTAATAGACGCTTAATTGGAAAAAAATATATAACAATTGATGCATTTCCGGAGAGTGTTTTTTTATTTTTATTTGAAAATGAAGATAGGTTTAAATATATACCAAGTCAAAGAAAGTATTATTGTACTTTGGAAGGTGCTACAGGTAGCGAAAAACTAAAAAGTATATTCAAATATAATCAAATTATATTTCGTGAAAATGCAAGTACTTCAACTCGAGGATATATTTTATTTGAAGATAATGATAGTCAATACAAAGTAGTGTTTTGCTGGAAACAAAAAGAATGGAAAGAAAATAATAGACTTTTTTTAACCAGAACTCTGTCAATTAACTTTACTACTGATTCTAGTGAATTTGTGGATGAGTAAGTATAATTAAAAAAATTTTTATTTTTAATTGTGTTAAAATTATCTGATATATAATTTTTATTATATTATATAATACAAACTACTATAACAAACTAAAAAATTCTTTAGATTAGTTGGTGGTTATAGTAGATGAATTTTAATGATATTATATAGTATATTAAAAATTATGTATTAGATAACTTTAACTCAGTAAAAATAGAATTTTTTAGTGCTTCGATCCTATTTCTGACAGACCATCTGGATTATATTAAATCCGAATTGAATCCATCTCAGATTATATATTAAAGTTAGCTTTTGGGTGCATCCTTAGATTCATTATTTAAGTTCTTTGACTAATCCGAGTAAACATCTCTGATTTGGATATCTGAATTTATCTTGATTTAAGGATTAATCTAGAAGTCGGATTACGGATCGAAGCTCTAGAATTTTTTATAATTGAAAATATTGAATATTTTTAAATATTATTTATATACTAAATTTATTTGATTATATATAGACAAGAAAATATTACACAACCTCTTTGTGAAGTGAACAATAATTTACCTTACAATCATAATCATGTTTTACATACAATATATAATTTTCATAGCAATAGTACATCATCTTCAACAAATAATAAATTAGCTTTTACTAAATCACGCTATAGATATATTTTGCCCGCTCCAATTTGTAAATAATTTTTTTGTAAACGTTAAAAATAGGAGAAATTAGTCAATTTTTATGTTTATATTTTATAAAATTAGATAAATAGATATATGGATTTGTGTAAATAAATAAAAAATATTCAAAAAAATATATATTTTTTATTTTTTTTTTTATTATATATGTAAATTTAAGTATATATATAACAAATATATAATACTAGAGAAAAGGAGGCGCCTCTATAGCAATTTTAATAGTTTTTTTTAAAAAAAAATTAAAACACAATTGTTAAAATAAACTAAATTAAACTTCATACTCGCCCTGGTAATTTATCGAATGATTAAATAATTACGATTAATCATGCATACATTCTCTTGAAAACAATCATTAAAGTGAACAAAATTAAACTTCATACCCATCCTAGTGATTTATCGAACGATTAAATGATTACAGTTAATTATACATTATCTTGAAAACAATCATTAAAGTAAACAGAATTAAACTTACATACCCTCTCTGATAATTTATCGAACAACTAAATGATTACGGTTAATCATATATACATTCTCTTGAAACAATCAGTAAAGTAAACAGAATTAAACTTCATACCCGCTCTGATGATTTATCGAACGATTATGGTTAATTATACATTCTTTTGAAAACAATCATTAAAGTAAACAGAATTAAGCTTGATACCCACTCTGGTGATTTATCAAATGATTAAATAATTACAGTTAATCACGCATACATTCTCTCAAAAAAAATCATTAAAGTGAACCGAATTAAACTTCATACCTACCTAGTAATTTATCGAATGATTAAATGATTACAGTTAATCACGCATATATTCTCTTGAAAACAATCATTAAAGTGAACAGAATTAAACTTACATACCCTCCTTAATGATTTAACGAACAACTAAATGATTATAGTTAATCGTATATAAATTTTCTTGAAAACAATCAGTAAAGTGAACAGAATTAAACTTTATACCTGCTCTGGTGATTTATCAAATGATTAAGTTAATTATACATTTTTTTGAAAACAATCGTTAAAGTGAACAGAATTAAACTTCATACCCACCCTGGTGATTTATCGAATGATTAAATGATTACGGTTAATTGTGCATACATTCTCTTAAAAACAATTATTAATGTGAACAGAATTAAACTTCATACCTGCCTAGTAATTTTGAACGATTAAATAATTATAGTTAATCGTGCATATATTCTCTCGAAAACAATCGTTAAAGTGAGCAGAATTAAACTTCATACCCGCTCCAGTGATTTATTGAATGATTAAATAATTATGGTTAATTGTGCATACATTCTCTTGAAAACAATCATTAAAGTAAACAGAATTAAACTTTATAACCACCCTAGTAATTATTGAAAGATTAAATGATTACAGTTAGTTGTGCATACATTCTCTTGAAAACAATTATTAAAGTGAACAGAATTAAACTTCATACCACTCTGGTGATTTATTGACAATTAAATGATTACAGTTAATCATGCATACATTCTCTCAAAAACAATCGTTAAAGTGAACCGAATTAAACTTTATACCTACCCCAGTGATTTATCGAATAATTAAATGATTACAGTTAATCATATATTCTCTCAAAAACAATCATTAAAGTAAACAGAATTGAACTTCATACTCACTCTGATGATTTATCGAATGATTAAATGATTACGATTAATCGTGCATACATTCTCTTAAAAACAATCATTAAAGTGAACAAAATTA